ACTAAATCTGCCTTCCGTGGCGCTTAAAAAAGAACCGAGACGGAATTCGGATCTCGGGTACCACCTGCTGCTTGTGGGGTTGCTGCTGACGATGCTGAATTTGCCTTCGATGGTCCTGTAGAACGCTTTGCAGCGAGAAACCCAATTTTTCCCAATTTTTTGGGTTTCTGGATATTTTTAGACGGCAAAACTAGCTTTGCTATTCCCTTTAAACCCCAAAACCTGGCTCGAAATCCATCAGCCTTTCAAGCCTCTCTCGTACCCAAACACGGTGACTTGTGGAGGGCCCTAATATGGGGGCTGTTGGCGGACAAAAGGAGGGCCCCTGTGGTAGCCAGAGGGCCCAGAATGACCATGTCCAGATGGCCAATTCTATTGTCTTCCTGCTCGACCTATGGATCCGCCTCTTCTGAATCTCCCGTCTCCTCCCATCCACAATTTCCCAAAAGATCCGTGGCAGCTGGCCCGCAGCCAACCTGTTTTTTTTTGCGGGTAGTGGGACCGTTTTTGCTAGTTTTTCTGTCTCTCGCTCGCTCTCCCTCTCTCTCTCTCCCCTCTCTTTCTCCACCCCAAAAACCCCATATTTATCGTCACGCACCGTTTTTTTCTGGGCGGCTCGATTTACCAGCTGTCCGCCCCATTTCCTGTACTTTAGGGATGGGCGGGATTTTTGCCTAAGCGAGGTATTTTTAGGCTAAAAATACATAAAATTAAATTATTTAAACTGATTTAATTGAATAACATGCTTATTTAAAAAATATTTCCATTTTGCTTTCCAATTTCGCTTCGAATTCGTATTTTTCTGTTGTGTTTCTGTTCCTCCTGCTGATTTTGATTCAAGTGCTTTTGTTTTTCTTTTTCTAACTCCTAATCAACATAATTCTAGACCAAAAGAATGGACGGCTTCTCCGAGGCCAGCGCCATGCTCAACAGCGCTCTGGATGAGTTGGACGAGTTGCTGCACAATCGTGAGTTTTTAATTTTATTCTCGTTTTTCTATGAAATTCTAAGTTAATCTGCTTTTAAGCGTGATTCTTGCAAAGATTAACGCAAGCAGCGAAAAAGCTACTTTTGGTCCCACCTCAACGACCTGCTCGGTTATGAGCTCGTTCCCACCATCATTCACATTCTCGTTCCCTCACTTGAGCACGAGCTTCAAAGCTCTCTCGTGCCACTTCCCTCTCTCTCTCTCTCTCTCTCTCTCTCTCTCTCTCGCTCACTCCCTCATCCTCACCCTCCCTTCCACCTTTCACTATACTATGCCAAAACACTTGACATTTTGCCACCATTTTTTCGGCTTCCTAAAATTTTTAGTCAAGCCGGTGGTAGAAATATTTGTCTAGCAAACTATACCCCGTAAGGTGTATTATAGCGGAATCGCTTTGGAAGGGAACATCAAAAGAAATCGCCTAGTTTACCCCTGCGGCCCAGCCAGCCGAGATTCGATGTGTTCGTGTCTTTCGCTGTGTTCGAACTATCGAGCGCTATACAAATATAGGGCGAGATAGAGAGCGAGAGAGAGAGAGATAGAGCGAGAGAGCGAGAAAGAGAGAGAGATGAGGATGGTCTCCCCTTTCCCTATGCCCTCAATCCCCTTTGGCCAGCCGGTGGGGTGGACCGTCACTCACCTGGGTGGTTTTGGTCGACCCCGTATCGGACACGCGGGCGGGGCTCATCCTCCCCTCCGTTTCCACACAGGGCTCTAGATTTGCTTGTTAACTAGTAGTTTCCGGTACGACACTGTGGACTATACAGTTTGTTGTCTGAATTTTATCCAGTCTTTTTGATGGAGGAGGAGTTTTTGATTGATATTTGCTTGCCCCTTCTAAGATTTTTTGTTGAGATTTGCAAAAAATCTGACGCTTCTTTTGTATCGCAAACCTGATAATTGAAAGATCCCCGCTCTCTTTGTAGCTATAAGGTTTATATAATAACGTAACGCTTCTAACTAGCGGTCAATCAAGTTCCGAGATCGGTGCAACGAATCGCTCCAAGATGTCACTTTAAAGACACAAGGAAGGCGGCACCATATTTGGCAAAAAGCTCAGAAGACTGGCTTTTTGAGAAAGAGCTTTCGCACTTCTGGTTGACAGTTTTACGAAATAACGGTTTGAGTTATGGTTTTTGAGCATAGCTCAAAATATAGCAGGATCTCAGCTATCCCTTGCCTAAACAATATGTGGATTAGAAAATTACATCGATCCTGATAAAACATGCGCTTAATATTGTAGTAATTAGTTGTAATGAGCTTAACGCCTTGCATTAGGTGCTTGAACGGAATTCTTAGTTTCTGTCGAGAAATCGTAGATAAAATTAGGTATTCTTAAGGTTACCCAAACATCTTGCAATCGACTCCTCGATTTGGCGTCATTTTACGCATTACGTAGCACCACCCGTTACCCTTTTTAATGTTGAAAAGCCCTAATCACCAATTTCCTAGGTTCCGGAAATTGAATGCTGGCAATTTTGATGTTCCGATCCGCGTACCCTCGAATTCGAGACTCCACGGCCCCACCCTAACCTTGAAGTTTTCCATGTGTGAGCGGTCCAATTCCCAGCTGGGAGGCTAATTGACCTTCCTCCGCCTCATCCTCCTCCTCTTGCTCCTCCTTTTTTCAAGACCCTCAGGTGGTGTACGTGTCTCCCGGGTGGTGTCGTTGAAAAATGGGCAAAATGCATGCGCGACCCTCCCACAGCCTTTTTCGCACTTTTTGGCGCAGCGCCCCAAAAAGTTGGTAAATTGCCTCGGGGGGGGTGTAATTTAGCTCCTCCTGCTCCTCTTTTAGCATTTATGCTACAATAATAATGTCAAGGATTGGAACGTGGAATCCTATATTATTATAATTATGCAGTTTTATGGAGCGAAATTTGGCATATAGGTGTGTTTTTCGTTTTTTTTAGAAAGCTTTGACAATTTTCAGAACCCTAAAGTAAATTTTGATGGCTTTGGATATCTTTATGGTTTTTGAGCTCGGATTTACCAGGCATAAGCGATTACTACCGTCTTACACGTTGCTTTTTGCGGTAACCTGTAGTAAATCCAATACCATTCCTTTTCCGGTCCTTGAAAAATGTTTGTGAATTTTTTTGGCTAGAGATTCACAAAATTTTGCGCGTTGCAAGCTACGTATCGGACTGTCATTGCATTGCTTAATGGATCACGATACCTCCAATCCGGTCACGCAGCGCGTGCGTTGCGAGCCGCGGCGCGGCAAAATCCATAGCCGTGCCTCAGTCCATTTAAAAGAGCTTTGAATCTACAGAACCAACTTCGATTTTTGGATTTGAAGTGAAATTATGGCGTAGTGCGTGACTGTCTACACGAAGAAACGGAAAGGGCTGAATTTTACGCTTCCGAGCCATTTTTACGGCCTTATGATCTCTAAAACCTTGAGCGATTTGTGATGTTATAATCTTAAGAATCGGTTATTTATGGATAAGCAGCCTTTGTGCAGTGTCCCTTTAAAATCGGCTAAATGTACATGAGAAAGCAGAATTTGAAACTAGAGCTTCGCCTGATGTCACCTTCGCTTTAAAAACCCGATGATCCACTCCAACCCACCCGAGACGTGCCTATTTTCGGGGCCGAGCTGGAGCCTATTTTTTGGAACGGCTGATTAGTTTGAGGGTTCAGAGAGGCGAGGGTAGTTAAAGTAGAGTCGAGAGAGAGAGAGGGAGAGAGAGACCGAGGAGTGGGTAATAAAATGCGCGAATCGACTGTCCTCCTCCCGTCTTTTTCTACGGGAGCACCAGACTCTTGCTCGTCACCGCCCTTTGACAGCCACATGTCCACCCTCAACGCCCAGTTTGCGCCTGTTTTTTTTCGGGGGTTGTAGATGCCCGAAGGCTACGTTCCGATACCCATTGCCACACCCACCAAATCGGTAGCTCTGGGTTGGCGGCTGGCACCCTCTTGGTTGGTGTTGTGAGGTGTCTACTGGAATTTTCTGCTCGAAATCGTCTCTCTCTCTCTCTCTCTCTCTCTCTCTCTCTCTCTCTCTGCGCTTCCTGGACTAGACTATCATTATCGATACCAATTGTACACTTTACGTATTCCTTCCGAGACGATCCTTCCTCCCCCTTCCTGCCATTCCTTCTTCTATGAACCATTGTGACCCCCCGTTGACGCCTCACACGTTTACGATTGTCGTTCCATTCTCTTCTCGTTCTCGTTCTCCCTCTCTCTCTCTCTCTCTCTCTCTCTCTCTCTCTCTTTCTCTCTCTCTCTCTCTCTCTCTCTCTCTCTCTTTCTCTTTCTAGCCCTCTTTTCAACCCTGAAAAATAGACAATTTGTAATGACGTGTCAATGTAATGTAAGGACGTGTCAATTTGTAATTTCCTGAGGCGCATCTCTGCCGTAATTCCGTAGCGTAACGTAGCCCTTTGAAAACGCCGCCTAATTTGCATAAAAAGCTGCATCAAATTCGACCGGCTTTGATAAAACCTTTTTGCCAGTTTTTCAAATTCCAAACGACACCGCTAAAATTGCGCCTTTTCCGGTGTTCGCCCGCCTATTGCCACGCGTCATTTTAATTGAGGGGCTGCTGGAATTATGAATTTCCGGCACGTAGCTAGAAATATGTTTTTTTTTGTTTCGTCTCTGTTTTAATTTTGTCTCTGAAATTTCCACTTTGCTTATTTTTCTGGCTGGAAATGGCAGACTAACAGAGATAATTTTGGTTTCCGAAGGCCTAGCAAAGTTTTGTCGGGTTTTTGGATTTTGTGCGCGTTTTATCAGAAGAAAGAACTAGCACAGTTCTTTGAGGAAATTGAAGTCTTTGAGAATCGTGCAAAAAATCAAATTTTTTACTTTTTCAGGCTCAGCCTCACCTCTCGAGCTGCGGCGCCGGTCGTCGAAACGTTCCTCGGACATTTCGCGAGACGACGAGACAAAAGACAGGATTTCGCTTCAATCGGAGGGAATTCAGAATCATCAGACTCATCAGACGCATCACTTGAATAATAATAATCCGCTACCTTCGACGCCCCCATCTAGGCAAATGCACGAAAAAGTGGAGGAGCCATCGCTTCGGCTCACTAATGGGTGGGTTTTCAAATTACTGTATTACCGTTTGAAATTGGTATTGCTTAACTTAAATTGCTCAAATGCATTTTGGAACGAAGAAAATCCAACTATACTGTCTTTTCTTTCATTCAATTTTTTTTAGAAAATCTGCATTCCAACCGACTACAAAAGACACGTGGAATGGAAATGGGAACCATTGGGTGGATGATGTTAGAGGTAAACAGCACAATTTCAGAATTGATGGACAATCAGAGTTGTTTCTAGGGTCCGGTGCTTCTTCTGGAGTCGAAAGTCCACCCTCCGATCTCCCGGCCTCATCCATGGATTCGAATACGTCGAATATTTATGAGCGGTTTATTAAGGTAAGCGATCAGATTTGGCTCTTGATTTTGGCTAGGTAATCTGTGGCCGGCGTCTTGCGTCATATTAGTTTGGTAACGCGACGCGGCCATTGCGCAACCGGTCCATAAGCTGATTTCACGTGTACGGACGCGTTGCGTGTAATTGCAAAAGCGACAGGAAATAGCGAGAGAAAGGAGAGAAGAGAGAGATAGAGAGAGAGAGAGAGAGCGAGAGAGGGAGAGAGGGAGAAATATTAGATACAGACAGAAAAAAGCCACTTACGCGACGCGTACGCTGCGCATTCAATGCAGAATTCAGACCCTTACGCGTGGTGCAGCCTCTTCGCGTTCTGCTCTAGAGCCCGCACCGCGCCCGCTACGCTGGGTGCTTCCCGCGTGTTGCTAGCAGAGTCTATTTAGGAAGAAAGAAACGGACTAATACGCTAAAGATAACTCTTTTTTTCTAGGCAGTCGACCGTCACGAGATCCACGACCAACCCGACCTCAAGACAAAACTAAAAATTATGAAGTGGATGAACGGGCATCAAGAGGTTGGTAATTTTCCGGTAGAATACTTGTTTTTGTCTGTTTTGTATTGTTGAATTTTCTCACTAACCAACAGCTTGTTTTCTTGCCACAAACATTCCTAGCACCATCTTTCCCCTCCTTTTTTTCCGGCTTTGCAACCGAAGCCCCTCCCCTCTTGCCGTGGGCCCCTAGTGATAGTGAGTGTAAGTGTGGCCCTCCCCCCACCCCAGGGCGTGCCGTTGTGTGGAACGTGTGGAATGTCTTTCTTGTTTAGCAGAGGGTGAGAGAGAAAGAGAGAGAAAGGGAGAGAGCGAGAGAGATGGATTACCAGCCGCTACAACAGGTACACGATCCTCAGATTGTTTTGTTAAACCGGGAGCAAGAAACGGACGAAAATAAAGAAAGATAATAAAGAATAAATAAAGAGAGAGAGGGAGAGGGCGAGAGAGAGAGAGAGAGAGAGAGAGAGAGAGAGAGAGAGAGAGAGAGAGAGGTGAAATAGGGAGTAAAAACCATTTTTTGGGTAGATTTTATAGTTTTTAGTATTCTTTTTATCACTTTCTGAGACTTTTCGATGTTCTGTCTCTCCTTTAGTCTATTCTCTCTTTTGGCCCGACTGGGCCCTAAGCGAAATGAGGCCCAAATTTGGAAATTGGATACCGTCCTCGAGTTGCTCTTTTCCGGCGCCGCCACGCTGCACCCCAGAAGGGACTACCAGCGGAGATACACCAGACTTTTACGCTAATTTCCTGGTTGTAGTTTATTGATTAAAAAAATAACGATTTTTTCTATAAATTTTTGACCATCGAATTAGTGAAATTCATGATCTTCCCTAAAATTCGATGCCAATTCCACGCCTTCTTCTGTTTTTGCACGACGCCTTTCATGGCACATTTTCTCAATTAATTTGCTAATTTCTCATACCGTAGGCCTTGGTGCATATTTAACGAGCGCCTTAAAAATATACCACAACGTTGAAAATATCATTAATTAAAAATTGACGTATGCTTAGGCTTGACTTGGACTTAACTTAGGCTTAGCTTAGGTTTAGCTTCCGCTTAGCTTCGGGCTCAGCTTATGCTTAGCTTAGGCTCAGCTAAGGCGTAGCGTGAACTTAAATCTACTTAAACTCCCCTGATTCCCATGTTTTTGGACTATACAGCGTATATCTTAAAGGTGTCTGGCCAAGCCGCTAGCTGGACCCTATGTGCCTTCACCTCCTTCTCCTCCTCCCGAGCCTCGGTTGTGTGGTGGTGATCAAGGAAAGATTGGAATGACAGCCCTTACCTTTCTCTCTCTCTCTCTCTCTCTCTCTCTCTCTCTCTCTCTCTCTCTCTCTCCTCTCCCTCTCTCTCTCTCTCTCTCTCTCTCGCCTCTCTCTCTCTCTCTCTCTCCCTCCAACTGGAATGTGGGGACAGCTGTGTGTGGTGTGGATGGGGGAATGGGTCTCCTTCCTCAAACCCTCATTCTCCCCGGCCCCTTTACCCAAACTGAACGGGGGATCTCGAGCTGGACGGACGGCTGGACCGGTCGCTGGAGATCCAATTCCGATCGACTACGTATTGACGATAGATTTCTACACTTGTACGGTCCTTTAAGTCCACTAAATTTGGCGCAATTCTAAGATTTTCGATTCTAAATATTTTTATATTGCATTTACAAGCGGTTATTACTATATTCTAACGCTAAAAATTGAGCCTGAGGCTACAAACTCCAAACTACAGGGCTGTAAGCTACGAAACGATACTCGAACTATTATTCTATCGAAACTCGGGTCCAAAAAATTTCTTGAAATACGACACTTCAGCTGCGAACTACACCTCTAAAAGATTGGACCCTAGACTACGCGACGCCCCTCTAAACCCCAAAATGAGCGCGGACCCACTAATGACGGCCAGCCTCCCACCCTCCTATCAACAAGCCCTCTATCACCAACAAAGGAGAATGAGCGGAGGATCGGAGATGAGGACCCAAAAAGACCGAGATCGGGATAGAAGACGGGCTGATGGTAACCAACAGCGTTTCTCGATGCCTATTCCTCCAGAAGCGCTCCAGGAGTTGCATCTGCATTTGACGAAGAACCGGCCGCCGTTGCCGGAGACCAGGTTGGGAACGGAATCGAACTTTATTAAGTTTTATAAATCCGCAAAAAATCCTGTTATGGTTAGTAAGGAGTATCGGAACGGAACAACTTTTATAGTATGGAAAACTCTCCTAAACCTGCGAAAATTAGCCGTATGAAACTGAACGCTCTAAAGACTTGACGCTAGTCAATTTATATATATATATAGATTTTTGCCTTAAGAATTATGTTATTTAATTTATATATATTTAAATTCGCAAAAAATGCCAGTTTTACTAACGAGGCGGTTGCAACTTAGTTAATGCAATTAAATACTAGATACCGAGTATTCTAATTTTCTCTCCTTTTACGACGATTTCGAACGCCAGAAAAATCATTCCAATCCGATACTCCTTGCGACTGCCAGAAGATTTGTATGCTAAAAACGAAGTTTTTAAGAAAGCGTGTTAAAGTTCTGGTGCTGTAAAATGTATATTTGATTTTTTTAGCCGTCTAATGCTAAAAAATCATTCCGATCGGGTGCTCTTTCCGTAGGACGGAAAGGTTACTCAAGGGAGGGTAACTCAACGTTAAACTATCCATTTCCGGCCAATTGGACAATTTCACCGTTTAAATTTTTGGCCATTTTAACTCCAAAACTCCTCAACTCCTTCGGGATGCGCCCCGTCGGGCTTTTGGGCTTTTCGTGTGTGGTGGGGGGGTCTAGAAGAATTGGATTGGCCCCTCCCCCCTAATTGAGACTTCCTCTGGGAAAGTGATGGAAAAAGAGAGAGAGAAAGAGAGAGAGAGAGAGAGAGGAGCGAGAGAGAGAGAGAGAGAGAGAGAGAGAGAGAAGCAGAGTAGAGTCTCAAGCCATAAGAAACAAAAGACCCCCAAAAGCGGGAGCCGACCCCCAAGCGAAAAGCTAGCTCCAACCCTTCGGCCGAGCCTCCCCCAAAAAGGCCATTATGTAAACAGTGGCGCGTGGCCAAAGAAAAACGGCTCTTATTTTTATTTACTTCTTTTTCCATGAAAAATGTTGTTTAATTTTTGTTAAAAAGTCTTTAAAATAATTTAAATGATTTAAGATTACTCAAAATTTTATTTTCTGTAGAATTCGTTTTTTTTTGTTCAGGTTTCCCAACGTCAAAAATTGTTTTTCGTTACAGTTCTGTAATTTGTATTATATGGTATTTTCCAAAAACGAGGTTTTTATAGTTAAATTAGCGGCAATTGTTAATTAGGTTAACTTTGATTTTTTTTCTGGATTTTTTTGAGATTTTTGGATTAGAAAAACAACATAAAATTGCTAAATAAATATCTATGACAAATTAATTAGCTATGCAAAATATTAGCTAAATATAAAAATGTAACTAGTAATAAAAATAATGATTATATGAAATTTCGCTGTTAAATCCACCTCCATTCCTTCAAGATCCGGCCGTTCCATCCTGCCCTACGCCACGCGCCATTCGGATTCCGGGTTCGGTTCGGCTCCATCGAGCCACAGTTCATGCTCCCTTCTCCCACCGCCTCCACCCTACCGAACATCTGCTGGTCGATCGACGACTCAAAGACACCGTATTCATCGCTCATTCTCGGATTCTAAGTCGCACTCCAACACCTCGCAACCGCTCCCTCTCGTTGCATTGGAGGCAGCGAGGCAGATGAGGGGGGCTAGCTGGCAGCAGAGTCGAGCTTCGGTCACCACTTATGAGCCGAATGTAAGGGGTGAAGAGTGATGGCTTTGTTGCATTTTTGTCCTAATCCCTTTAAACACGTTAATATAAATCGGTTTATTCTTTGCTGTAAACCAACATCAAGTTTGGATTCATGTTTCTGACACTTGTTTTTTCAAAGTCTTTTTTCAGACTTGAACTGTCGTTCCACTCAATTTGCATGAGTTTTGACGAGTTGCTCGATAACCTTAACAAATTTCAGGTTTTTGCAAAAGTTTTCATACTTTTTACAACTTAAATGCAGATATTTGTAGCCAGTTTTCAGCATCTTCATCACTATTTTCGTGCCTTTCGATTTTTTTGCATGAAATTCCTGAATGGATGCGCTTTTTAAAAGGATTCTGACATGCTCTGCATATGCAGCTGGCGTGTACTTTTTTGCGTTTTCCTTAAACTACTACTTAAAGGGGTTCTAAATGGCCTTTTTAATATCAAAAACTGTATGTCTTCCCTTCACACCTCTTAAAGATAAATTTACTTGCCGTTCAGCGTAGTTTCACTCAGATTATCAAAAGTTTTGTTGTTTGCATAGTGTAAAAATTAACGGCTTCAAACTAATTTTTGGCAGCTTTGCCAGCAAATCCATCGCTTGATCGGACATATTTTGGTTTCCTGGAATAAATTCGCTTTTAAAAGGAGGGTGAAAGCGCAGTTAGAGCTCGCTTCTAGTAATTTCTAGTCGTCTATTTCTAGACCGAATTATAATTTTTCACGAAAATTGAGATCCACATTCTATCTGACAAAGACATTCCTTGCTGTCACATCCCCTTTAAAGAAACGAGTTTCAACTTTGCATTTTCCGTCAGATTTTGATGATTTTCGCATTCGTCGCAGTCTCGAAGAGCTTAAACCCAGATGTTTTCTAACGCCGTTTTTATTTCGTGTCAAGCATTTTGCAAGACATCGAAGATCGCTTTCGTTTTAGCACCCTAAAATACCCTCTAGAAGATGATGATCATCATCATCATCTTCCATACCAGCCCGGGCTATGGGTTGCCTCGACTTCCGGACGACCTCCTCTCCTCCTCTAGCTTTTCCTCCTCCTCCTCCTCCTCATTCCCGGCTACGGTGATTTATTCGGAGACCCGGGAATGGCTTCTCCAAGGCGGGGCCCAAGCTGATCCGAGCCCCTCGTTGGGCGGCCACCCAAATTTGTTCTCATTTTCTGCCTGGCGAGGGTCCCGTAGCGGCCCCTCCCCTCGTCGTGACCGCCCCATAATTCGTAGATTGCGCCCGATGGATGGGTATATTGAATGGGGTATGGGATGGCTTTTTGAATAAATTTTGCCTGGTTGGCTTGTTTTTCGGCCGGTTTAGAGCAAAACAGCGTGATTCTGTTTATAGTCTGCTTTTTGCCAACTTTTTCCTTAATTGATTTCCTCACGCTCAAAAATTTGTAATAACCGTTTCCGATTCATTTTAAAATTGGTCCAAATCCCTAAAAGTTCTTTGCTAGATAGCCTTGGCATAAAACACGACTACAAAAACCAGTTATTCCGGAAATGTCGCAAGGAATGTTTGCTAGATTGCCCCCTGGATCGAAACAGCCATCCCAAATTTGCGTAAAATTTTTAAATTAGCGTTTCGCAAAGAACGCTGCTAGCTGGTCCATTTAAACCCGCCCAGGCTATAAAAATATTCCGCAAAGGACCTTTGCTAGCTTGCCTGCTGCTTCGAGCGGTTTAAAAACTGCATTTGGATCCCTCACAGATCTCTACTTTCCATTCTTTTCTTACCTACGAAACTCTCCTTAAAGGGATGCCGACGGCATAGTCAATCGGTTACGCGCGGGAAAGAAAATGTCTCTGCGCCTCTCCCCAGGGCGCGCTCTCTCCCCTGTTGGCTACTTGCCAATTTGTTGATGAGGGGGGATCGACACATGCCGTCGGCAGCCCTTTAAGACACGTAAATTCCGTATAGCATCCCTGCTACCATGCCTCAAAAAAAGCTATGGAGAAATTCCTAGGTAGCGTCATCCCTTTAAAGGTAAAAACCTTTAAGCTGATTTCAGGATTTTTATGGCCTTTGAATGATTTAATAGCCTTTTCCCGTCGCTTAAAATGTCGAGTTTAAGGGGCTAGTTTTAAGCTCAAAAATCGGCACGTAAAGCCACCCGCCTCGTCCTCATCCCCCTCCTTAAACTCGCCGGCAATTAGTGGATGCAAATTGGGGGTTCCCCCTCCTCTTCTGGAGCCGGAATAGGACATCCCCCCAAACCGACCCTTTTTTGCGACGGGCAGTGAGAGTCCCAAAATGAACTGGAGCTCCTCTTCCTCTGCTCTATTGAAGGGCCAAGGAGGGTACCCAATAAAGGAGGTCATTTCGACCTTGCGCTCCTGGGAAACGATACAAACGAGGAGAAGCTTCTTCTTTGGTCTTTCCGGTTTTTTCAATGAAGGTCACAGTCGTTTTTGTTGCAATATGTAGGGGTTTGTGACTACGTAGGCTTAATATCTAGGCGAATCGATAAGCTATAAACAAAAATCCATACCCAGACCGGGCCCCGTCCCTTTAAAACGAGTTTCCGGTCTAAAATTTTTCGAAATTTTGGCCATGTGTCCATAGCGCCCTTTTTAAAGGGTTTATGAAGCCAACAGTTTCGCTGTCTAGTTCTTAAATGGTCTCTGCTAGACTGCCCATCTTCCTGGATTGCGTCCTCAAGCAAAAAACATCTTTTCGGCCGCCAGAAACCTGTTTTCAGGAGATGTGTTCATAGTGCCGTAAAGTAGCATAGCATACCATGGTCTAGATGCAAAAAACACCCAAAAGTTTGACTTCAATGGGTCTTTAATAGTGCCCTTCTGCGCCCGGTCAGCTATTCCAATGTCCGAAACAACCCAATGTCCATCGGAAATACCCTTCCCCTCCGGTCTTCCACTATTTTCCAAGCTTTCCAGCATCTCCATTGGGTTTTGCTGGTGGCCGGCCGGACATCCCCAAAATGTGATTATCCACTGCTACCCCCCAGTGGTCCCCTAAAAACAATTCCATTGCATTCTATTCGCGACGGTCGTCGTCAATCGACAATGTCCACCCACGCAACCACTAAACTAGGGCCCAATCGTCGTCATTCAGGGGTGGCGTTTGAACTTGGGCTTCTTGGGCAGTGTTAATTCTATTTTTTTGCGTTTGCGGAAAACGATAGCTCTATGCGGCGAAAATTTCGAAAATTGTTAAAAAATATTTTATTTTTTGGCTTACTGTGTTATCACTGCTGCGCCTAGTCTTTAGTAACAGTTTATTTATTCCTTTTTGGTCTCTCAAACGTCTATTTTTTGGCTGGGTAAAGGACCCCATAAATAACATAAATTTGATTTGTAGCTAGATTTTTAACCGCAGCAAAATTTCATTGATAAAATCCATACCTTTCTGTGCAGATTGATAAAATTTACCAATAATCATAAAATTTATACAAAGTGGGTTTTTATATTTAGACCATATTCTGCTTACGATTTACGTCTGTCTAACCTTGGTATGCAAATGCTAACCTGATATCCATGCTTTCCTCCTCCTCCCCCTCATCCCCCTCTCCTCCATTACCGTGTTTCCCTAATCCGGTTGCGTCTACTCGAAATGTTTACCGTCCCTTTAGTCATGCATATTCTGTCCGTGTGTGTGTGGGAAAGCCATGTACCCCTAGGGTATTTTCTTTACTTTGCTAACTTTTGGAGTTTTACTTGATTTTCTAACTCCTTGGAGTTAAGTTTTGTTATAGAAAATCACTAAATAATTGTCGGTCCTCTATCTGATTGTGTAAACCATAAAAAATTTGCATTTTTTTTCAGTCTCCCTCGCCGTCTATGTCTACGGTCTCATGCCCTGAGTACCCGGAACTTCAAGACAAGCTGGCGAGGCTCTCGATGGCCAGGGACAGCTTATCATTACAGGTATTTTTGAGATTCTCTCTCTCTCTCTCTCTCCTCTCTTTCTCTCCTCTCGCTCGCTCTATCTCTCATTTTCTCTCACTTTCATTTTCCCGTCCGAAATGTTTTAAGGGGTCAAAAAGCTGAAAAATCGACTATTATATTTGACCAGGTCTCGACCAATGAGACAGAAAAATCGATGGAAGCAGCGATTTCGCGTTGTGGTCGATACCAAGATCTAGGAAGGGGCGATTTTCCTGCTTCCGAAACCCTTTAAAACGGCACTTATTTTTCTGCACAAAATTCTTCTCTAAACGCCTTTTCAGGTGGCCGTCCTAACCGAGCAAGTATCCGCCCAAAAGGAGAAAATCCGAGACCTGGAGCTGATGCTCCATCCAAGTCGACGAGGCTCCAAAACGGGGTCCCAGCACGACATCGCGGGAATGGAGGTCAGCTTCATTAGTAGTATTACTAGATCTCTCAAATCGTCATCAATCTCCTCCCCTTATAACTTAATTTAATCTATCCTACACCCATTTTTACAAAACTTAAATTTAAATAAACCATAAAAAAGCTTAAAACCTAATCTAACGAAAAACCTGCAGCACCTGTACGCAAGCGACGGCCAGCCGGACTTTGACTACCGAAAGATGGACCTGATAGCCGAGGTTCTTGAATGTGTTTTTGGATGAAAATGCTATGAAAGTGCTGCCCTAAAGCCGAGTGCAAGCGTGTTTCCTTTTGCATGTTCTATAACTCTTCCTGAGTCTTCTAATTTTTCGGTATTTTCGGTTTTGTAAACCCTCAAATTCAGGTGTCAAACCTGAAGCTGAAGTACGCGTCGCTGGAGCGTGAGAAGACGGATACCGAGCGGAAATTAAGGGCATCGCAGGTTGGTCGGACTTTTTGGTACTTAAGAATTAGTTTTTTATGGGTTCTCTCCCGATTTGGGCGAGACACGCAACGCTACGCAATGCGCAAGCGGCTTGGTTTTTTGATACGACGATAATGGATTACGCTATCAAAAGGCTAGCAAGCGTGTTGCGTACCACTTTCCTGAAAAAACCACGTAGAATCCAACAAAATCTTTGTGCGTTCCTTTAAAGGGGCTAGGAAGTGTAGAATCAACCCCTCCGTCGACTAGGTCTCGACAAATACGGCCGCCAAAAAGGAAAATTTCAACAATGTTTTACCGTCATTTTGCCTGACTTGGATGGCAAGGGAATGCAAGGTTGTTGTGTGTTTCCTGCGCGGGCTTGTCGAGACCTAGTCGACGAGACGGTCTATCTTTCTTACCAGCCACTTTAAAGTAGATGAACAAAGAGCGTATCCCAAATTCCAGAACGAAATCGAGCGCCTCGCCGACTGTCTCCACGTCATTGGCCCATCCCCCTCCTCGCAGCAACCTCAGCTCTACACCCCGCTCGGCCACCGTACGCAGGAGCAACGTACGTTGAATTAGAAGCAGACCCGGAATAGCTCAATTTTAGACGCTGAGATGGAAAAACTACGGCAGGCCGTAGCTCAGTTGATCGCTGACAACGAAGCCAAAAATATTCAAATTAATAGCCTGAGGAATGCGCTGGATGAGCATTGCAGGCAGAGGTCAGTCAATTTTGTAATGTGTACTTTAGCCCCTTTTTATCTCAATTTTTGTAAATATTTTTCTAGGGATGACTGCTACGCTGCACCCTCAAATGGCCATTGGCACGATCGGCAACAGCAGAAACCCGGCTATGACATTAATGCGCAATTGAGAAGGCTGTTAATGGTAAGTTAATTGGTGGACTAAAGGGGTGTGGAAGTGGGAAATCGACCGCTTTTGTTCACTAGGTATCGAAAACTACGTCGTGCCGCAATTGACGCGTGCGAGAATGTTTTAATTGTTTTCATAAAGAGCCTAAGAGGCTAAGGAATCATCCTAAACGGCGACATTTGCCGCAAAACGTAGCTGTCGAGACCTAGTCGATCGAAAACTCGATTTTGAAGCTTGATAACCCCTTTAAGAACAATTTGTTCGATTGAGCTAAACGAAAAATCGACTTTCAGGACGAACCGCTGGACTCGATGGTCCATTCCACCTCCTACCCCGTCAGCCTCTGCTCATCAGCCCATGGACCGGATCGAAGGAGTGCTGTTCAGGTAATTTTCGCGTTTTACTTTAAAAAATCTCAAACCGTAAGAAAAAAATACATAAAAAATGAATTTTAAAGAAATTTTTTTTAGTCCTCATCCTCCTACACATCGTCCCTATCAACGGCCTCCCCACAACATTCGTGGTCCCAATCGGGTACCCCGAATCGCGGAGGGCAACAGGTTTTGAATCCCAACCAGCAGCACTTATCGACGTGAGTCTTATAACATTCAGAAAATAAAACCATTCTTTTGGCTTTATTTAGTCGATCTCGTTCCTTCTTGTACTTGGCGAAGAAGGAGAAGAAAATCAAGTCAGAAGCCAATTAGCAAAATTAGCGTTCCCTTTTAGCAAGCGTTTTTTTGCATCCTTTCTCGATTCTCTATTTACCAGATGGTTACAGTCGCTTCGCGACTGCAACCATCTGGCCTTCGGGCTACCCTACATGTCCCACTCCACCGCATCCTTTCCCACCTCCATCAATACCCCCATAGCCCAAATCCCGTTCAAAAACTACCTAAATACATTCCTGATGGCTTCAGATACCCCCCATGGCTGAAATCCCCTTCAAAAACTACCTAAATACCTTCCTGATGGTTTTAGATGATTTAAATAATTAATTAACATAATTAAAAAGTATTAAAGTAACTTAAGAAAGCGATCTGGGCGCGCGAAGGAGCCTGCGGAAGAGGGGCGAAGGGAAAGGGGGCGTGGCCTCCCGGGAGAGGGGCCCCCACTCGTTTTATTAAGGCGCCACTTTCAAAGTTAATTTTAATAATTTAAATTAAAACTTTTTCATAATTTTCACTTTGGGGGTTTCTGACCACGCTCTATCCGAATCCGAAGAGACCTAAGCTCTAGCTCCTTTCCCCTTCGAGTTGAATCCGGGACATGACAGACAGACGGGCAGACACCCCAACCTTTTTATTATAGTTGATATCAATCCCCTTGACTTTCAGTTTTAAGCCCCTCCATGACGATAGTGGCCCTTTAGTGAAAACTAATTGAATTTCTTCAGGTATCGCTCCCCCTCCTCCCCAGCTGCCAGACAATTGGCTGCCGAGTTGGACGAGTTGCGGCGAATGGGCGATCATCACAATCCGTATGCGTCGACATTGCCGAGGGGAATGGGAGTCAAGGTAAGGGAAAAACAGGGGCAAAGGAGGCATTGAAGTGCCAGAATCGACCCTGATATCGACCAGGTGTCGACCGACAGCCGTTGGAGTGTTCATACCAAATAAGATCGTTGTGGCTTTAAGTTACGCTCGAAAGAACATAGCAGTATATGTCCGTTGAAGTGAGGCGTACCGGTCGAGACCTAGTCGAGCGATGGGGTCGATTTTTCCTCTTCCGAGGCCTTTAAAGCCAGGATGTCAGCAACCTTGTAGACCGAAATTGGTAACTGCGGCTCATCTAAACGCATGAAAAAAACGAATAATCAAACCTGATCGACTTCCTGACTTCCTGGGCGCTTTAAAAGGAGCGTAGCGCGAAGCTTATAGTTTGAAAAGAATCAAGCGTGTACGAAATATTGCTTAAGCGTTCTGGAAGTGATTATAAATGAGTTTAACTGATCTAAATGGCCTGGAAACTTGCTAGCACGCTTTCTTGAAAATGCGTTTTTGGCCACTTTTTAATACTTTGGCATTTTATCAATATTTTTAGGCCGCTTCAACACTTGCCCTACCCGGAAAGAAGCTGTCAGTGGCTTCATCAGTGGGAGGTGCGTCAGTGGACGGATCGACAGAAACCGGGACCGAATCGAAACGAGGAGGTGCCAGCCGGAAAGGATTCAACCACTGGCTGGCCACCTTTGGAAGGAGACGTCACAAGGCTACAAACCACAATAAGAGAGCGCTCTCTGTACCCAATTTAGGTATCGGAAACTGTCCGTTACACGACCATGGATGCACTAACCGTTTTGTATAGCTAAGAAAATTTAATTTTCTCGAATTTTGAGGAAGATAGAATTTGAATTTTTGATGATTTTCTGAGTGTTTTTAATTAGATTTTTGTAATCAACATGGTCGTCTATTCTCGGGTGTTTCGCTAACCTCAATGTGGAGTAATATATGTAAATTCTAACCTTAAATTTCCTTAAAAAGAATCTTCATTAAAAAATCAAATTTTTGCCATTTTTTTAAATTAAAATCGATCCAAAATCTTTATAATTCCTAGTGCGTGAAGCCGCTCAACTTTCCAGTAAGTTACCTCGCCTTAAAATGCCATAAATCATTGTGATAATCCCCGAAATTTGATGTCGTAATCATATATATCCAGGCTAACAATCACCCCCTTAACCGTGCCCTAATACCGTACCCTGGCCCCGCCCCCGCCCCCTAATCCATGAATATCGAGTGCAAACCTTGTGGCGTCTCCAACACCTCGTGAAGGTCCCGGTAATAACATTGCCGTTTTTATGTTGATCTTAAGCTCATGAAATGTGTGTAAATTTCCTATCTTCTAGTGGAAAGTGATGATGAAGTGACGAGGGGAAAAGCCGCGGGATCATCGTCGTCAAAATGTGGGGTTTTCACTATTTAAAAAAGCCCAGCAATTCAAAATGATAATGAATTTTTCAGTAAATTTAATACAGTATATTAATGGATTTTACAATTTTCTAATTTTTAAAGGCGAAGAAATATCATTAATCCATTAGATTAAATCCCGAAAATCCAAAAATCCAGAAATCAGTTTTGTTTAGGATCTAAAATGCTAAAATACAAACATGTAGCATTTAGTTTTAACTACCGTAATTTTTTATAGGTATACCATCTTTATGGAGCTTGATCTTAAGAATGATTCAAATAGAATTTATGAAAAATTGCTCGAATTTTTGAAAAAAGTTAATTTGGTTTTGAGTCGTTTAATTTATTAATTTACGAAGTGCAGCTATCAAATTTTGAAAGTTGATAAAGCTAACTAAAATAAAATATCTCAAACTCAACATTCAAACTTAAACAAAAATTAAATTTTTTTAGTGGACCCCTCCTTCAAGCGAGACCGGACGCGCAGCTCGCTCCGGAATCTGTTCTCGAAGCTCACCCGTTCCTCCTCCCAGGACCACAACACTTTCAGGAGGGGATCTGCGGCTAGGTATGTGTTATTGAATAGGCGTATTAATGATATCTTTCAGATCAACCTCAGCAGCTCGTCTGGGTCCTTCAACCGGTCCTCTTTCCGGTGCCATCGCCCTCCGTCCGGCTGTTCAGCAGTTTGTCGACTGGAAAACGGACCAAATTAGCGAGTGGTTTGGTGAGTTTTTGAAGAGAAATCGTTAACAAAAAGTTATAGTGTAATTTTTATCAGAATTTTGTAACTTTAAAATATATTTCCAGGTGAAATCGGCTACCCTCAATACGTCCCGGAAGTGGCGAATTATGTAAGGAGCGGTCGTCACCTTCTGAATATGAATGGGGATGAGCTGGAGAAGGAGCTCGGCATCAAAAACCCATTGCACCGGAAGCGGATACTGCTTATCTTGAGGCGGATAGAAGAGGATGTGTTGGAGCCGGTCGACAAGTTTGACTTGCACCAGGTAACGATCGATTTTAAGGCAGATCTTGAGGTCGCGGCTAAAAAACAAAGAGATTTTGATAGCAGCGCCCCATTAAAAATATCTGGTCAAATTCCTGCCCAAAAAATTGCTTAAATTTTCAATTTTGCAGGTGGTCCGCTGGCTGGACGACATTGGACTTCCCCAATACAAAGATACCTTCACTGAATATCTGATCGATGGCCTCACCCTGCTTCATCTGACCGCTGGCGATATTGTTGAGGTAAGCTAGTCCATTAAAGGGGTCATAAACTATGAATCGACCCCTTCCGCATGCTAGGTCTCGACAAAGCACGACCTCGCAAGCTAAACAATGTCGCTTGCGCGTAGTTGTCTAGACGTAGTCATGAAAGAGATCTTGGAGTTGCCTGGCGTTTTAAAGTCAGGATGACAGCTAGAAGAGACAACTAGAGTTTGACGTAGAAGCTAAAACCACGTCAGGACGAATTTTTTTAGATGCGAATCACGAACGGCTCACACTACGCCACGCTATGCCGAAGTATCCAGTTTCTGAAGGCCGTATCGTTCAGACCACAGGCGCTGGACAAGAAGTTTGACGCGGTAAGGGATGAGGGTTGAGGATTACATATCGTAACCGGTTACACTATCAAGGCCAACATCTCTGTTTTAGTCGTCCGTCGCTCGATACCCCTGCCCGAATTCCGTGGTCCGCTGGTCACACTCTACCACTTGTGAATGGTTGCGGACGATCGATCTCTCGGAATTTACGCCAAATCTGCTGTGCGCTGGTTTACCGGGCGCTTTAATGGTAGGCTATCACCCCTTTAGAAATTGAAAATCCGCAGGCATTTCATAGCGTCATCGTTTTAGGTGTACGAGCCGACATTCACCGCCGAGAGCCTTTCCGAGATGCTCCAAATTCCACCCCACAAAACGCTGCTGCGACGCCATTTGACGTCCCACTTCAACCAGTTGCTGGGCCAGAAGCTGATCGCTGATAAGAGGGACTTCTTGGCCGAGGGGATCTACCCGCAACTGATGCCGAATATTCGGATAAAGGTGGGCATCAGAAGTCCAAAATTCAACGAACCTCGAGCAAAACCTTAACGTCGGGTTTTGTCGCTTTTAACCAAGACACAAATTCTGCCTTGCAGCTCCCTATAAAGCACAATATACATCAAACTATGACTTAATTTAGGTAGTGAAGAAGGGCTTCTCGCTAACCCGAAAGAAGGGGAAGAATGAAGTGTGTGTCGAGCCGGAGGAGCTGCTATGCCCACTCGATGTCAAACACCGCTTCCCAATGGTTAGTAAACTATAGAATTTGATACACTCTATGGCGATCAGAAGGTATTATCGATCAGGTTATCGTCATAACTTTAAAAAATGGCAATACCTGGACTTTTTGCGATGAAAATTTCCCAATACGACCATACCATTTTTTGAGACCCAGACAAATTCTAATAGGTCACAAGCTATGTCAGCTTCCGGGTGTAAAGGAGTGATTAAAACTGTGATTTTTCAATCGATTACGCCAAGCCGCGACGCGCAACGCGTGAGCCATCGTTAAGAAGTCACGCGCGTTGCGTGCTGTTTCTCTTGTTTTTGCACATTTTAGGGTCGTGGCCATTGAATTCGAAACGCGCCAAATTTTGCAGTAGACGTGTAGCGCTCGCGACTCGCAACGCAAGCCACCTTCAGGAAATCTAGCGCGTTGCGTGTCGCGGGCGCCGCGAAATTCATATGGGATGTATGTCCAAAAATCCATAGGGGTGCCTTGTCAGTCCCTTTGCTTTAAAGGGCACGTTCAGGGACTTTTTTTGGAAAAAAGCAAAGATTTTTTGCCGCGGCCGGGGGTCGAACCCGGGCCCCCCGACCGGGAGGCGCGGATGGATACCAGTTAACCACAGCTACAACCTGGCGAGGGGGTGAGGGGCGCCCCACGCCGCAAAGGAGGTGAATTGCCTGCCACGGCACGGGCAGGCAGTGCGCACGGTCGCTACGTCCATAGGGTGTCTACGTTGGACAGAGTATACGGCCCCTCCCTGAACGTGCGCTTTAAAGGGCACGTTCAGGGACGTTTTTTGGAAAAAAAGCAAAGGTTTTTGCCGCGGCCGGGGGTCTAACCCGGGCCCCCGCTCGGGAGGCGCGGATGGATACCAGTCAGCCACAGCAACAACCTGGCGAGGGGGCGAGGGGCGCCCGACGCCGCAAAGGAGGGGGAATGGCCTGTCACAGCACGGGCAGGCCCTGCGCGCGATCCCTACGTCCATAGGGTGTACACGTTGGGACGAGTACACGGCCCCTCCCTGAACGTGCGCTTTAAACACCAGTTTTCCGATTTCCAGGATGAAGATCGGGTTTTCAAAAACAATTTCCAATTTTTTAGACAGCCCAGTCGCTGCTCGAATCGATGGACTCGACCAATATTTGAATACCTATCCGATTTTTATAATTTTTAATGCTTTTCAAAGAATTTCTTCCGCTGCTCTCCCCATCCACGAATATGCCTTTCAGGGATCGGCATCGAAGTACGAAAATTTACAAACCAAAAAATTTCTATTTTTCGAGCCGATCCCCCGATTTTATGGGTCTTCCCAAACTTTTCATTTTTCATTTTGATATCTATATTTTCTAAAGAATATCCGCCGTGTCATACCCACTATTTCGCTTCTAGTTTCTTTGTTTGGTGCTCCTTAATTTTAAATTCGATCGATAATTTGATAGAAAGGGAATAATTCTATTGTGAAAAGTGCCTGTCTCCCCGCCCACAAAGCGTCGCGAATAAATCCATATATTGATAAAATTCGAGCGGGCCGAAAATACACATTAATTCCACGCAATCGTCTTCGTCAATTTCCAGAAAACAGAAAATTTGTACGAAACTTGGAATAACATTTGGCTATGGCCACTGTCCTAGCAGTTCTTGTGTTTGGTAAGTTCAATAAAGATTTTTGACACATAGCTGATCATAAAAATCTCGAATCGTCTACGGTAGAAATATCGTTAATTAAATTGATCAATAAAAATCCCCGAGCCATCGATCTTGCCGCGCCTCACGCGCAACGCATCTGCTACGCGCGGTCAGCGCAGGGCAGCGCGTCACAACCGATTACGCAATGGAAGAAGCGACCCGCGCGACTCACAATTCTGCATCCCTTTAGGGTCGAGCAGGGTGAGAACCAAACCATCAATTTTGGGAAAAGACAGTACGGCCCCGCTTTTAATGCAGTTCTGATGTTTTTATGCGTAATTTAGTAACCGCCGTAGTCCAATGCTCCTACAACATCGAACGCGAGTCCATCATCAGCGATTTGAGCTGGATTGAGGAAGTTTGTCAAGCAGTCGGCGAGTCTCTCTCTCTCTCTCTCTCTCTCTCTCTCTCTCTCTCCCTCTAACTCTCACTCTCTCACTTGACTCTCCCTCTCTCTCTTCTCTCTCTCCCACTGTCTGCCCCTACCGTTGTTTTTATGCTCTCAAACTTCAACAAATTTGATATCCTAGGTGCTCTACGATCAATCGCTAAAAATCAACGAATACTCAATGATCTCGTTGGCGATGGCTGATGCTCGATTTGGGTTGAGGAAAAGGAAATATCAGATTGCTTTCGATGCGGTGAAGAAGCTGATGCAGAAGGTACGGTAAGACTCACAGAAACGGCACGCCTACTGAGCCGTTGCGGCCAAAACTATTTCTTGGCGTGCTCCGTCTACTTCACAATCCATTTAAGTAACTAGCAAGCAACAGAATCGACCCCGTACATCGGCTAGGCGTCGACTGTTCACACAGCGCGTAAAAAGACACATTTAATCTGGGGCTTCAGCTCTTCCGGAAGTAGCACTGGGCCTAAAATTTTTGTTCTGCCTAACATTCCAAACACGCGTGTGTTTTGGAGCCCGGCGTAAGTGTCTAGACCTAGTCGATGCGGGGGGTTGATTTACCCGCTTTCCAGCTCCCTTAAAACGGATATTCAGGTGGAAAATGGCCGCCTCTCCGAGCGAGTTAGCAGCAAATTACTCAAGAAATTGGGCGAGATCATGGAACAAATCCAATACGTTCTCCCCGGGTCCCACACCGATGCTGATGATGATGAGTGGATGAGAAATCCTATGAGAAATCAGAATTCACATGACAAACAGATGGTCGAGAATCTGGCGCCGGAAGATGGGGTGCTCAATGAGAGTCCAGAGGGCAAGAAGGAAACCATACTAAGGGAATTTGGACAGGAAAAGGATATCATAGCTTTTGGAAAAAAGGGAGGAGTAGCTGGAAACGGAAACGGCAATAACAATGGAATGATCGAGCGGCTGAATGCGTTCGAGGATAAGCAGAATGGGAAGGGGACTGGACCTCCAGAACTCATTCCGGGAGCTGCTTCTGACAAAACGATCGGACAACAGCAAGGTACAAAAAAAATTCAACACGTTAAAAATCTTGTTGTTGAATGCAGTTAATTCTAAAATTTTAAGTTACTTTCTCCTTTGCGGGTTTCTGCAGCAGAATATTCAAAAAATATTATCGCTTTTTACGGTATTTCACTGACAATTAGCTAAAATTTGTCATTTTTTAGGCGATTTGGATCAAGACATTTTCGCCGACCCCGGATTAAAAATGTGAAATCGCCAGAATCATATCTTAACCACAGAACTATCAGAATTATTGTAATATCGATAAATTTTATTTCCACTAACTTAGCCAGAAAAAACAGGAAAAGCACTAAAAATGCAGCTAAATGCTTATTGTCAGCTATATTTAACTTAACTCTTTGACTTTGTAATCTACGAACCTCGCTACTTTTAGAGGTTTCAACAAGCGAGGCGACGCCAACTTCATCAAGTTCACATCGTCGGCGTCACCGAAAGCAAAGACTCGGGGCATTAAAAGGAAATACAACTGAACCACCGAAGAATATATCGGTTGTGATGCCTGTATCCGATCCATTCAAACAGGCGAATTTCGGAGGTGACAGTAGTCATCCCGCCGTGAAACACGACAATTTTCATTGCGGTAAGTTGACAGTCCGATAGGTTAATAGATGAGCGTTAATGGAGTCGTTGCTCTCAGGAAATCGTGGAAAAAGCGGTGAAAAAGAGCGTTTTTTAGATAATTTGGGCCAACAACTGCCGCGTCGCACAAAAATGGCCATTCTGGAGGTGAAATTTGCAGTTTATGCTCGAAAGTAGGCCGTTTCCAGACTACAAATCGTTTCCGCTCCAAGATTGCAAAGGGCGAATATCAGGGATTTCGGGACAAAGCCTTCCCACCGGCGACCAATATGCGGAAAGTGGCGAGTTTGAATTTGTTTTGCATCCTTAAAGGCGTCAGCAAGGCATTACCATGGATTTTATTTGCCACGGAGTTCTTATTGATTTTTGATGAGATAACGATAGTTTTGCAGCGCTTTTAAAACGACGGTAATACGCCCAAATGCACACTTTTAAGCTATGGAACTGCGAGCTTGAGGAAAAAGCCGACAAATGGGCCCGCCAATGCCAAATGATCCACTCTGGCGCCGACGTCAGAAGAGGCCAGGGGGAATGCCTGCACTTTCCAACGCCCGTCCCGACAAGTCTCGAGGCTTTTAATGGTAGCTTCACCAATCATAATTCATTATGATTATTTGCCAAGCAACGAAAATGGTTGATATCTTCAACGGCGAGTTCAAGAAGCGACTTATCGATTTTCCGGTGAAAATGGATCATTTTAATTGGAAGTTTGTTGGGCATGCCACGCAGGTTTGTTTTTGATCGATATCTTGCTCTCTCTCACTCTCTCTCTTTCTCTATCTCTCTCTCTCTTTATCACCACTCTCCCTCTTTATCACCACTCTCCCTCTTTATCACCACTCTCTCTCGCCCTTTCTCTCTCTCTCTCTCTCTCTCTCTCTCTCTCTCTCTCTCTCTCTCTCTCTAAAGAAATATCTTTTTAGCAAGCCTGGGCCGACAACGACGCCATCGGATGTGCTTCGGCATTTTGTGGAGACAAATTCTGGGTCGTTTGCCGTTACAGAACGTGGGTTGCGATGCGGTGCCTCAATGTTCTCTGCTATGCTGCCCTAACTACCCTCATTTCAGCGGTAATAACCTGGGCGCTACCATCTACGATGAAGGTGCGCCATGCACGGAATGTCCTCCAGGAACCACCTGTAATGTCGTCACCAGCCTTTGTGACCCGAGCAATTAATGGCACAAATAAAAAATGAACAAGCACAGCGAGCGGCAAATTTAAATGGGATTAAATTTATTAGCTCGTTACCCGCTTATTTGTATTTGTCCAAAATGGCCTCAACGAACGCGTCGCCGTCGAGTACAGTCCTGAAAAACAGATATTAAGCCGTCGCTCTATTGTACCAGTTCGAACATCAGATTAATTTTTATAATTTTGAGCAAAGTAAAATATTTGTAAGTAAAGACTGACTTAAAAATATTTGTTATTTTATGTACCTATAATTCCCGGGCAGCTTCCGGACGACGTCCCAATGATCACAGCTGCAATTACAAGGTAGAATAGCGTGAGTGGCATGGGAATGCACGATACGGATCAACATCGGGATGAAGTGCGTCCAGTAGAACGATCGAGTTTGTTGATTATCGACCAGGAACCACTCCGAATATTTCCAGACGAGTAGAATGATATCCTTCGCCAACTGAAAAATTGTTTAAATTGTTTAAAAACTTAAATTTAAAATTGCTTATGATATTCTAACGCTAAGCTATTTACTAATGCAACAGTCACCTGATTCGGATCCCCGACCCTTCCCTCTGAACATCTCCAACTAGTGCAGCAGTTCCTCTTCAAAAATTCGAACCGCTGCCGCACCAGCTCGACGCGATAATTGTGATCCTTATTCGTCCAACCTTGCTTCCATCCCGGAGCCACCGCACGCCCAAGGAGTGCAGGAGTCACCAGGGTGGCCGCTTCGTTCAGAAGCGCCTCTGGGACCCGGACACAGATTGGGAGAGGTATCGCATCAAGCACCGCAACTTTGCAATAGCGATCCTTTTCTTCTTTGCTGCGATAGATTGTGCTGTACCAGACATCTTCACGAAGTTCGAGGGATCGGTGGATGAAGTCGGGGATGGGCCGGAAGTGGAGGGGTTTGTTTTGGAATTTGGCAGATTGGTTGGATTTGACGAGTAGTAGGAAGTCGTGGACACCTCTAAATAGGTCGCTGATGATCTGCTGAACGGGTTGAAGTCGTTGGAGAGAGGGCAGTAGCTGAGAGTAAGTGAGAGAAAGAGGAAGAAAGAACGAAAGAAAGTGAGAGATAGAGAGAGTGAGAGTGAGTAAGAGAGTGAGAGACAGGCAGACGGTCCGAGAGAAAGAGTGAGAGAGCGGGAGGGAGCGTGAAAGGGTGAGAGAGAGCAAGGAAGAGAGAGAAAGAGTGAGAGTGAGAGTGAGAGAGAGCGAGAACGAGAGCGAGGGAGTGAGAGTGTGAGAGAGATAGAGAGAGTGAGACAGACCGCGAGAGATAGAGAGAGAGCGCGAGAAAGAGAGCTATTAACCTTGTCGGCAGCACTTCAAACATGGCCCAATCCTTTGCAAAGTGACTCATCGGTATCTTGCATCTCCAGTGATAGGTTCCAGTCGGTGCATTACAGGGATAGATACTCGTTTCAGGCAATCCCAAGAGTCCCTTGCTATAATAACCGAGAGTAGTCGTGAAGAATGTTAACGGGTAGCAGCTAAGTGGGCCGTCAAAAAACGAATCCGTGGCCAGCTTCCAGTTTAGGATCTGGTAGGAGGGGCAGGGTTCCTGGAAAATAGGCTGCTCTGAAAAGTGCAGTTTTAGGTGCGCATTGAAATTATTCCCGTTTTGCTAGCTGAATAGAGGCTTAGTAGAAAATCTCTCGTTCAAGTTGTGTTGTAAAAATCAGAAAAACTAGGACATAAAACACAAAAAGCACACTTACAAACGAGCTGATATTCGTCACGTGGCATCCATACTCAATCGGGGCCAGCTGCGAATCCATGGGTCAGCTTAAAATAAGGAATTTTTGCGTATTTTTGCGCTATATTAGGGATGATAGTTAGAGTGAGAGAAAAGGGATTGCCATGTCTGAAAAACGAAAGCAAATCGCCCTGGTTCGTGATAAAAAGTGCGGAATTGCGGCCGGGAGAGAGAGCAATCATTTTCCATAAGCCCCGAAAAGACAAAAATCATCAGCTCTGCCAAGAGAACAAAAACCACCAAAAATGTTAGAAACAAAAAGTGCGGTTCAGAAAATCTTCTAGCTGGACCAAATGTTTATAAAGGCCTTGTGCGTCATTTGTTTACTTACGCGATTCAATCGCCCGACCAAAAAGTCCCATCTTTTGCCTGGGCTGGCACAAACTCGTTATCACCTAGTCAGCCCAAGCCACACACACATTGGGGATTATAAGTTCGGGAAGTCTCGAATGGAATTCTTCGCACTGGGGACAATCGCATTTTGAGGATTCTTTGAGAATCATGTATACGTCTTGTAAAATTACCGCATTTTAAAGAAAGATCTATCAACACACATTTGCCATATCAATTTGCTTAAATTGATCCTCAATAGTCAAAAAAAACCGGCAAGGCGTGAAAATTAGGGCAAATTGGTTGCCAAAACCCAGCAGCGATCTCGCCGATCAGATACCCTAAATGCCCCACTTTTCGGCAGGTTCTTTTGGGGGCAAATGCAACTTTGAGAGAAATCGGGCGGTTCCCATACCGTGCCAGTCCCAATGCCCGCGCCGCGCTACACTACCACTTTCTGGCCCCCTTTTACTCATTCGCGAAATCGCGCAATCATCCGCGTTTGTTTAGATAGGTGCGCTGTGATGCGGTTCGAAAAAACGTGCAATCTGTACTCGTCAGTCGTCGTTTCTGAGGCTCAAATGAAGATATCCGTTGATTTATTTAAATACGAAACACACCAAAATCGCAATGTTGGCCATTTTTAGCAATTTGATGAGGTAGATTAGAACAATGAAATCAATATTACAAAATATAATTTGTCAGTCTTCACAAAGTAAGTTTGTTCAAAATTGCTGCGATCTGCTCGTCGCCTTCGAGGACTTGGCTGAAATATGGCGCATTAGGGGCACTGACCAAATGTTGTATTTGCAAAAACGATGCGGTTCGAAAACTCAAGGGATAGAGCTAGTTCAACTTAACTTACAACGATTTTTCAGTCATAATTTTTTGCTAGAATAATAATTTTAATTCAAGATTTTTCATGCTGAAATTACATCTCCCAAGCTATTTTGTTTGCGTTAACCGTCTACATAATTTGACTAGTAATAATGGATTCTTATAGGATGATATAGGCCCAGGCCCGTACGAGGGGGGGGGGGCACCGGGGGCACGGTGCCCCCCCCCCGAAATCGGGCAAGGTCCGAAAAGTTCATAAGGGGGGACCCTTATGATTTTTTTCATAAAAATTTTTCTGCCTGCGGCGCTGTTTATCACTGTTTCGAAACCATTTTTACTTCTAGAAAACCCATTTTCCTAAAATTTTTTGCCTGCGGCGCTCGTTTTCATTAGTGCACCATTTTTGCTGAACAAAATTTCGCTTGCGCACGCCGTTTCCGATGTGTTTTCACACGAATTTAAGCGTTGCCAACGCGGTTTTCTAAATTTTTTCGCCTGCGGCGCTGTTATTGTCGCTATTTTCGAATGTTTTGAAAGTGGCGACCGGGGGAGGTCGCCAAATTTTTTTGGGTGGGTGCCCCCCCCCGAAATCTCGGCTCCCGTACGGGCCTGTATAGGCCTAACCCCTGTCTTGCCCCTTCCTGCTAAGCAACCTTTACCTGAACTTACCTCAACGTTTCGGCAGATTTCGGAGCACGCTTTGAGATTGTGTCCCAATGATTGCAATGGCAATTGCAGGGCAGTGTTCCGTGTGTCGCGTGGCTATGCGCAAGCTTGATCAAATCTTGGTAGAAGGAAGTGGCTTGAAGCTGCTCTTCCGTACCAGCCAACCATTCCGCATACTTCCAAATATGAATGGCAATGTCAGTGGCTAGCTGAAAAACGATAATCATAACGGGTGTAGATCGTTGGTTTTTTAATGGTTCTTTCTTAGTATCGGGGGGGGATTTTTATAGATGGGACCTTTAACAAAATGTAATTATATTTTAAGTGAAAAATTTTCTAAAAACTTAGCAAACTTCTTTAAAATTTTGTTTTTAACCAAATTGGGAATTTCCTCCAAACGCCATAGTTTGTGGCATTTTTAAAATGAATTTAGAGTTTTTATCTTTGTAGAACACAAAAACAGCTTAGAAACACTTGCTATATTTATTTTAGGAAAATCGAACCATTAGGAACCCCTTCCCCCCCGATAAGACGAAAACCCCCGAGGCGTGTTTGCCGCTTCCATTATAGCGATGCTTACCTGCCGCGGGTTGCCGTCAACCGTTCCCCCACATCCCCAGCTTCTGCAAATGTTTTTGCGCAGAAATTCAATCATATTCCGGACCATTGTGGCTCGTTCTTCGTCGCTACGGTTGGTCCACCCATTTCTCCAATCGTTATCAACCTTCGAAGCCACCTCTCGGACCAGAGCCACCGACACCTCCCTGGCTGCGTCTAACAGCAATTTTTCGGGCACTCGCACGCATATCGGCAGCGGGATTGAACCCAATACGCCCACTTTGCAATACAGGCCGGATGCGCGGTAATCCGTACTGTACCACTGCCCATCATGCAGTGCTAGAGACCGTTGGATTTTAGTGGGTATGTGATAAAATCCCGGACGATTAATGAACCGTGCGGCTTGACGCGATTTTACGAACAAGATAAAATCCTGGCCGCCCCTGACATGAGATTATGGTTGGGTTAAATATAATGACCTACCATCTCGTATAGACAGGTTTCCCATCGTCATCCAGCCATTCCCTGAATAGCTTTATACTAGTGGTAGTACAATGAGTAACTTTTGATATTATGCCCCAAACCAGCCCGCCCTTCTGGAGGTCCGTAGAAACGCCCAATTTTACGAATTAGGTATATTTTGAAAGCTCACGGAGAGAAGAATCCAGATTATCCCTCGATTTTCAAAAAGCTGATATTTTTTCAATCTACTACGATTTTTGTGAACTAACTGGATTGAAGCGCATCCCGGACGATTGGTGCTTTAGGCCGAGGAAAAACTTCCGTGGCCTCCTTGGTTTTGTAAAAAGTGCAATTAACAAGGCAATTTTTCATACAGCCCACTTGCGCAATGGGTAGCCGAAATAAAATACTTTCCAAAATATCGTCGCTCACTTGAGATTTGACACAACTATCGCCAAAAATCTTTTCAGATTTCTGGTAAAGCCCTGCTGGCCAGAACCAACCTCTTGCGTCGCACCTCAAACATCTCATATCCCTCGTTAAAATGATCCATCGACAGTTTGCACCGCCAGAAGCGCTTGTCTTCGGGAGCCTTGACGGGGTAGATGCTCTTCTCCGGCAATCCCAGTAATCCAGTCGTTCCGCTTAATTCCAGCGTCGTCGTGAAGAAGGCCATCGGATAGCCATACAAGTCTCCGTCGTAAAAAAGATCTGCAGCCGGTCTCCAATCGATTTTGCGATAGGATGGGCAGGGGTCCTGGAACGGTAGAACTACCAAAAATCGAGGAGATAAAGCGGCCTCGGATCCTTCACACCGCTCTTTTCTAGGAAAACCTACGTCGGAGCCCTCCATAGTCACATGGCATCCGTATTGTATTAAGGCTAGGCGATTAAATCTGGGTGGTTCATTTGGATTCATTTGGTGGCCAATAGGTCTTTGGCTACAAAAAACAAGTTTTAAAAAACTATGAATATGAATAATAACGGAAAATAGACAAGGCAGGCAATAAATCGAGCAACAGCCATCAAAACCGCGTAAAAGGGTCGCGAAACTCGTGGCGTCGAAATGTGTGATTCTTTGTGAGGGGGCAAGAAGACAAATCGGCCGGTATCTGGAGGTCAGATCTGGGACACCGCATCGTGAAAAGGAGGTTGCGCCCGTTCAATTGGACGTCGGTTCAAATAAGGTACTCGGGTTCGAAACGGGAAAGGAAAATGTGAAGCCTAAAATTAAAAAAATTGGAGCGGCTGTTAACTGTCTATTCCGGTTGAAAAAGAAATAAGGCTCACGGGTTACTGCCACGCTATTTCGAAAATGAACCACACGGTCGCATTTTGGAAACAGGGTCGTTGGAAACACTTAAAAATCTACACACAACAAACAATTAAATAGACAACCGGGGAAGAAGCAAAGAGCTCGGCAAAATTTTCGATTCCTTATTTTCGAAACTCAGAAATCGAAAAATTACTTATGCGGCTAACCGCTTCCTCCCAAAATTTTAAAACTTGACCCGCAACGTGGCAAATTCTAAATTTTGCGAATGGGGAGGTCGAGTCCAGGAATGGTTGCTCTATTCGGCCGAAACATCGACCCACCTGACCGGAACATAATTAGGGGAGGACACGATGCGTGTGGTCTACCTCCATTGTCGAGCCCAAAATTACCAAGAGGTCAGCAGGCATAAAAACGAGAGAGCGCCGCGGGAGCAGAAGAGGAAGAACTTTGAGAGCCTGTTTGTGCATTAGCAGTCGGATTAAAATATTTTTTTTGATGTCCAAATGCCTTTTCAAACGCGTCAATGCAAAGAAAAATTCATTCAGCACCTAAATCAATGAGAATCATAATGTTATGAAAGGCAAGGATGGATCAGGTAGATCAGAATAATGATATCAAATCAATAAAACCAGAATAGCAAATTTTTCAAGGGCAACGCATAATGTTACATCGTTTTCTGACGACTGTTGAGACCAATCCGTCTGCTTCGAGGATCACGCTGAAAGTAATCGATTACTTTTTAGCCAAAGGATCGTCTAAACAGACACGGCACTTAGAAAAATTCGTTTTGGTAAATTTTTCACTAAAGGGTCAGGGAAGTGCAAGAATCGACCCGCTCAGCCACTAGGCCTCGACAACTACTTTTTTGGCCTAAAACGGTAAGAGATTTCAGCTAATCTAGATTTCCTTCTTGATACCGTTTAAGCCTGAAATGACACAGAAGTTAATACCATTTTGCGATGCGTACTGATACGTTATACTACTTACGTCCGTGTTTCGGCCCGTTTCCTAACGGTGTCGCATTCATCACAGGGACAATCACAAGGCCCACAATCGCCATGGTTTGCATAACTCTGCGCGAGCCGAACCATTTCCGGGACGAAAGTTTCGCGATGGAATTCCGATTCCAGGTTCTTTTCATCCGGTTGCAGCAGCCGCTCCGAGTACATCCAAATAAGACGTGCAACGTCTTTCACGATCTGAAAAACGCTTTTTATGTGGTGGACATGAGGATCGAGCTAGATAGAATAATTGATTTTGGTAGGATTTTTGGGCCAAAAAACTACACTTGCCTTTTAATCAAACTTTAGATGGTTTCTACCTTCATGAATACTCAGAAACAGCATAGAAATATTTCCGCTATACAGCGTGTTCCAAAAAAAAATCGACCCCCTCGAGCGGGCCACAGTCATGTTCGATCTTGACGATTTGGGTATCCATCGAAGCGTTTCGGAAAGACGAGCAAACAAGTGCTTTGTGTTTTCCAAGATAAATATCTTAATTCACGAAATTTAGGGCCAAAAATGATGATTTCATATAACGAAGGGCGCAGGTTTTCTCGCCATTTTGTTAGCTTTCGAATGATGTAAAAATCATCCAAATCCGAGCATTCACCGGACCGCTAGAGCTGGATCGATTTTTTTTTGGGACACCATGTATCAGGTTGGAACGAAAGTTCTGTCGCCGAGATTTTGGGAGGCTGGCTAAAATCGTACAGGGTGCGTCAAAAAAAAAAAAAGAGTGAAGTTTGCACCAAAATATCTCGCTTATAGTGGAGAATCGAAGGTACGTTACCATGCCAGAATGCTTAAATATGTTGGGTATGAAGATTTAACACAACTTGATTTTTTCGATTTTTGGCGACGTATCAATACAAATGAAACTGTGCGTTCCGGCAAAACTTCGTTTGCATTTTTTAGGCCTGCTGGTGGTCGAACACTTCCAATTTTTACAGTGTAGGTACCTAAGGACTGCCCCTACGCACATCCGGGATTTTGCAATTTTTGAAGGTCAGGTTGGCAAGTTATAGCGTGCTAAAATTTAATATGGAGAAATTTCGTAAATTTCGAATATTACAAAAACCTATGGTGGAAACCTCATAAAAAGCTGTTTTAGCATGTCTATAGGCTCGATACAATCCCGCAAAAATATCAAAAAAAATTTTTCAGATCCGCGGATTTTTGAGTTTTTCGACGACCCCCTGGTCATGGATTCTTTCGAGGTCACGAAACTGAACTTTGGAAAAATATTTCTAAAATTGCAGCTAGAATTTCGGTGTTTGCCTTGCTTAGTTATGTAGGATTGGCGTCCATCTATCATGTAAACAATTTCTAGCTACCGTACCCCTTTGGAAGGGTGTCTTTTAGCGCCTCCAAAACGGTTGGTTCGTGCTATCGCAGACCTTGGTGGCAGTCTATAAAATTCATTTGCGCGGCTAGAATTACTGTCATAATTTTATTTGATGCTTCTTAACTGGCGCATTTTAAGATTATATCTACAAATTTATTGGGCCATCCGATCTCTCAAAAGAAATTCATGAAAAGTGCAAATATACCCGACTTTGAGGCGACGTAAAAAAATTCTCGAGGCTCTAGTAGCCTCGACTTTTTTGGCATAAACTCAGCTTGGGTGGTCAACTAGAACCCATGCAAATACTAAACCTTTCCATGGCAAACGAATTTAGAAGAGCTCCCCAAAGTCGGCTTTTCAAAAAAGGTTATTTTCGGGTTTTAAATCAAAATCAACCATTAACTTCAGCCAGATCATTCCAGTATTCTGCTCTCATACACAGTACGATGCGTGCTTTAATTGTATCCACGAAATTCCGGTGATTTTTTTCATTTTCAAAAATTCGATTTTCGGGGCAGGGTGTCGGGTCCAAAATCGGGCCCGAGGAGGGCTTTCCACTTTCCCTTATAACTCTGTCATTTACCACAGATAACCAGTAATTTTTTGCCTGCGTTCTTATAATTACTCAGAGAACATCCTACCTTATATAATTTTGGAGTGTATGTGTGTGTGTGTGTGTGTGGATGTCACTTTCGAGGCCCGATTTGAGGGCCTTCCCGTGCATAAAATGCCCTAATTCTCCGTCACCCGGAGGAATCGACCCTTCTGTTTCCGATGGCGTTTTCAGAATTTCGATAAAATACAAGTTTACAAAGTTAAAAGCGGTTTTATTGATTTTTGGGGGTACCTGAAGGCTAATTTGCATAATGCGAAAAAAATACAAAATTCTTCATTCTGGCCAGTTGCACTCGCGCGTGTGGTCGGGGCGGGGGGGGGGGGGCGGGTCCGCAGGACCCGAGCTATCAGAAAGTCAAACTTTTCATGCAAAGGCCGCATTCCAGCGCCCAAGGCCCGCGAAGCGGGTTTTGGGCGCTGGTTCTAGAATAGAAAAATTGGCATTTTATGGCATTTTGTCTTGGCATGTTACGGTAGAAAACAGTAAATCGTCGTTTTCTCGTTCTTTTCACCATAGAAACGTTTCGATTTTTCAGGAAAACAAATAATAGTAGTTTTCAGTCCGATGCATCAAAGTATTTATAAATTTCCGTGGCTAAATTCAAAAATAAGTTTTTTGCATATTTTGGTAAGATATATGGCTACAACTCCACGATCTTTGGCCAATAGGTGACCCTTACTGATGTTTACCAATGATAAAATTTTAAGCGAAATCGCAGCTTACAATAAAAAGAAAAACGCGAAAAACGAAAACTACAGTATCCCACTGGGGCATCTTTTAGCAAGCAACATTAAAATACCATAGAATCAGGTAAAATTTGGTGTTGTGCTAAAGATTATCATTCGGAGACACCATCTGCAAAAAATCAGCCATGGGCAGCGTATTTGAAGCGAGTTGCGAATTAAAAAGTAAAAATAAGCAAAATAGGGAAATTTGTTTTGTCTGTAAAGAAAGAACTAAACCTTCAAAAATTCTAAGACTTTGCTATTATTTTTCTACAAATGTCAACTATTTATAGGCCAAAAATCAGAATTTTCCCACCACCCGTTCAAGAACGCACAATTTTCGGTCGTAACCAGCGTCAATAGTACAGTTTCGTACTCAAAAATCGAAAAAATCAAGTTGTGTTAAATCTTCATACCCAACATATTTAAGCATTCTGGCATGGTAACGTACCTTCGATTCTCTACTATAAGCGAGATATTTTGGTGCAAACTTCACTCTTTTTTTTTACGCACCCTGTAGTTAGCTCCATTCGGCACATGCGATATGTCATTTTGTAGCTCCCGGCCTGAATGGTTCCGGGAGGGGGGTCCCGGGCCCTGAAAATCAAAAACGGCCGAGATACAGCCCCAGGAAGATTTTTCAAAAATTACGCGAAATTGTTTTTGCAAGTTATCTTTGCATGGAGACATTTGCATGTGATACCTTTACC